AATTATTAAATTAACAAAAACAAGGGGACAAATAAGATTTAGACACATGTGCTTATATAAGGATTTGGACAGATAATGCATTGGTTTGACGCACTCATTTTTTTGTTAAACACGCGCGTTCCATGTGGCAAAAGTAGTGTGTATTAGGCACAATTTTGAAAGGTTGCGTGTGTAATATGATATATGTCCTCAGAAAGTGTGTAACGGAAATTTGATGTATAGTTTAGGTGCCAACTTATGTATTTTGCCGTATATAATAAGAAAGTGCAGCTCTCCCCTCCCTCATTCTAGAAGATATCACCAGTATTAGTTCTCCCAAAATACTCTCAATACCTCTTTAGAATTCCCAAGCATACTTAAGGCAAAGTCAGGGGTGAATCTAAATCTAGCAGGATCTAATGTGAAGGAGATTAGAATCATCACTGTAATATCTATTATCTTTGAATCAATTCTGGAGATTCGTTGGAGGCGAGGATTAACCATCCTATAGGTGAAGCTAGTTCTCCAACAAGGTATGTACGATGACTTTCTTTCCTGACATGAGTTGGTGCAAGTCTCTCTCTCCCTCTAAAGGATTTTTGCATTGTAAGATTTGGTAGTTCTGAGTCCTTCCTAATAACATTGTTTCTGTTCTTGTACATTCTGGCCAGAAATATTTCTTTCAAAGTTTAAGATGCTCACAGTAGTATATTGAGGCCGGGACGTATAATTCACTATGAGTTTAAACTTAACATCTCCCGAAATTTGATCATGCATTGTGCTTATATGTATATGTATCAATTTTACTTTATCGAGCCGCGATATAGATAGCCGGGTATGACACATATTGTGCAACCATTAATCAGCTAGGTAAGAAGAAATACAATGTGAGACACTACCGAGCCCTTGTATGGCCGGGTACGACCGAGTCCTTATGCGTCCAGGTACGACCGAACTCTCTATGAGGACGGGTACAAAATGATGTAATATAAGATGCTACCGAACGCTCACGTGGCTGGGTACGACCGAGACCCCCCATTGAGGCCAGGTACGATGTGAGGAAAGAAACAAACTTTACCGAGTCCTCTGCGAGGTCAGGTACGATATGAAGCAGGGCTAAATAATAATATATTGAATTTAGTGCATAATCTCCATGAGTGGCTTAACCCACTGTAAAGCTTGCATAATTTTAAGTGTATAGTTTCTATAGTTTATGCCCCGGGTGGCTTGTCTTCGGCATCCGGGATGATATCAAGTACTCATATCTTATACGTTATGTCATTGATTTTACATGCTTTCTTAGTCTTACATACTTAGTACATTTTTCGTAATGATGCCCTTTTTTTGGGTGTTGTGTTCATGCCACATGTACAGATTGACCTGGTGACGCCCCTCCCCAGTAGGTGCACGTTTCAGCTGTTGGTTATCACTCTCCACTTCTTTGGAGTAGCTGTTCAGAAGTCATAAGGTACTGAAGAATATGTTCTAGTCATTTTGGGTATGGTGGGGCCCTGTCCCAACCAAGTTATGTATATGTATATTTCTTCGGTACTCTTAGAGGTTTGAAGACTAGAGTTTGGTTGTATGTCACACGTGAGTTATAACCTTGTTGGGTACAACTATGAATATGAATAAAATGTCAATGTTGTTTTTTGCGAGTCAGTTGTACATGTTTTAGATTACCAGTATCACTACGTGAATACTTCGTTGGCCCAGACTTTATGGTTAAGGAAAGATAAGAATGAATGTTGGTTCTTAGGGACCATCGGGCGACGTGTGCCGGTCGCACCTCCCAGGATTGGGATGTGACATTTTCATATCAATATTGTAAAAGAATTAATTTATCGTAATTGATATGAATCAATTCCGATCTGTTATTGGAACTTTTGGGTGTTGGGTTGATTTTAGAAAGGCAAGTTAATTATCCAGTCATTAGTAATACACATTGCAATTACTGATGACTAAATACTGATGGATAAAGGAAGGCTCTCTTTGCAAATCATGAATTGAGAAATTTGACGGCCATGATTACATTTACACGTATGATATTATGATGAATTAAAAAGGGGACGACCAATCCCATGATATTTCCACATCATTCATAATTGGTCCCCAATAACAAGATACATCAGATCCAGCCCCTGCAATCAGAATCATGAGATTCTCTTCCACCCATTTTCACCACTTTCCATAATTATATATGGGTAAAATAAACGTTAAACTAACGTATGTTAGTATTAGTTAAAGATAATTACACTATTCAGCTTAGATGATCTTATTAGGCTTGTTAAAGTAAAAGCTATGTATTGTCAAATTAACCTCCTAATATAAAAAGTTTATATATTGCTAAGGGTCGTTTGGTTGCACTACAAAGATGGTGTACCACATGCATAAAGCTCCACATTAGTAACGTATTGTTTGGTTGTATTTTGAAACTTACATAAAATTTAGCAGTATATAATATAACATAATATGCATAATATTGGTTGGTGTTTTTGTTATATACATAACTAATATCTTGCATAAGTTATACACGAATTTATATATCATTTTATGAGGGATAAAAGATAGAATAAGAATATGAGGATTAGTAATACATGGATTCCTCACCTATTAAATCATTTTTTTCTTTCTAAAAGTAAATAAAACATACTATATTTTAATCCCTACATTAATTATTAATTCCTACATTCAGAAGCGGATCCATGATTTAAACTCTATGGGTTTAACTTTTAAAGTTTTTAGCACTGAACTCATTATATTTTTAAAGTAATGGATTCATACATACTATTTTTGTAATTTTAATATATTTTTATACATAAATTTTTCTTCGTGTCAAAAGTCATGGATTCAAGTGAACACGTCACTAGCACACTACATCCGACCCTGTCTATATTACAATTCGTAAATTATTAATCTCATATTACAGTCCGTGCATTACTAATCCCACCACATTACAATCCTTTAATTATTAACTCATTTCTAAACCAAATGACTCCTTAGTGCATAATTTTAGATGTTTATTCCGCTTATTTTTTTTATACAATGATAATGCAAGAAAATATTGAAATTATGAATACTAGAGTATTTCTTTAAAGTATAAATATTAAATAAATTTTTTAAAGGAAAGTACGTCTTTGTTAAAGTGAAATGATTTTAAATACGTTAGACTTTTCAAAAAGAAAAAAAGTGTGACAAAAATCATGTTTTTTTTTTGCAGCAGCTGAAACAAAAAAAGAAAGGGGAAAAAATATAACGAAAAGATCAGTATACTACAGGGAAGGAGTTAAAAAACGAAAACGACGGCTCACGAATTGTACAGCGGGTAAAAGCCTTGGTGCTATTCCTCTGTCTTTTTCATTTCTCAAGGTCCCCCCTCCCCCCCCCCGGGCTATACTTTCATGCTTAGATTTTTCTTTTCTTTTGCGAATTTTAAGGTACTCTTATTTGTTTTTTCACTGTCACTTTCTCTACATCATTTAGGTAATAAAATTACAAAACTATAAGTATAGAGAATTTTGTTATTCAATTTTCTCACATTATTAATCATCTCAAAGGACAGATCAATGATAAGAAAGTTAGTCAAACATCAGTTTGCACTATTTTCGAATTCTAGTGCAATTGAATTTTGATACTCCACTTTCATTTTTAATTCCGCTAAAAGATACTTTTCTTTGGCCATAATTCGGTATATTCGTGTTATAACAAATTCTCTTTCATTTCTTCAGTTGCAAGCCTAGCATTTCTCAAACATTGAGATGGAAAATAGCTAAAAGTTCATAATTCTAACAATAATATAACGAGTCAAATGGTTTTATGGTCTATTACAAACTTATTTTTAATTTTATGACCAAATCTTTTTTCTTACATATGAAAGATTTAATTTACACATAAGAAATTTAAAAAAGCACTTTCTTAATTTTATTATTGTAAAAAGCCCAAAATAAACAGTATTTATTAGTGCTATTTGTACATCATATCCCTTTAATTAAAAAAATAACCTTTTTAGATTTCTTATGTGTAATAGACAAATATCTTACGTGTAAAAGTAAATCTCCCACGTGTAAAAAAGAGGAGGTGATAAAACTAAAAATAAGTTCGTAAAGAGCCACAAAATCAATTGACCTATTATTATTATTATTATTATTATTTTCTTTTTGGGAGCAAGATGCAAATTTCTCAACTTTATTCAAGAGCAAGTCTCCTCTAAACCTACTTTCAGAATATATATTCAACAAATATGTTCAAATAAATGTAGAAAGCATGCAACTCAAATTACAGACATTTTATATTATTGTTCAATCAACTTCTTTCATACCCACTTTCCACTATGTGAACAGAAAATATTATTTTATTTTAGATAGTTTGCTAGTCAAAAAATTATGATTCAAAAAGTATTAGTATATACGGATTCAACTTAAAACAGCTGATCAACTTCAAGATCACTACGACTGATATTTCTATTTTTTTTTTTTTACTTTTGTAAGTTATTCAAAAAGGAAAAACTACTCTTGTTAAGCACGATTTTACATTTGTTGTATGGTACAACCGTTAACACACCAATAACAAAAAAAAAAATATTTTAATTTATGTGACATACTATCGACATTGAACTGAATTATTTTTTAAAACATATGATTTGAAACATGCTATAATAAATTATAAAACTTAATCTTAAATATATTATAACATTAGTGTAATTCTAAAAATTTGTACATTAAAAATAAAATAAGAAGCATAAAATTAATTCTTTTTCAAATTTACAAGAGTACTGTAGTATATTTCATTTTGGATTAAAAAAAAAATAAAGTATTCACATAAATCAAAAGGGCGAAGTAAATTTTTTTGTTTGATGGGCAGTAAACCTTGCACCCTCAACCCTGGTAACATTTTAACCAAGTATACGACTCAACTCAACAAAACCCTGGTTACATTTTGACCGCACCAGTGACCAATCGTAACACCCCCACCCCCACCCCACCCCAATTCCAACATCATCACATAATAAAACCTTATCTTCTCTGCAGTACACACACACACACACACACTCTTTTTCTTCTCTCTCTACACAGAGCAAATCTAAGCTCGTTAATGTCGATTCAGATCTGAAGCACCTCACCAAAAACAGGAACACTGTTAAATCACACAGCCAGTGAAATTCCAGTTTTAACCCTCCCATCTCCGTACGACAATGGCGTACTCATTCCCGGAAGAAGTTTTAGAACACGTGTTCTCCTTCCTCAGCTCCGACGAAGACCGCAACTCCGTATCCTTAGTCTGCAAATCATGGTACGAGATCGAACGCTGGTGTCGGAGGAGAATCTTCGTCGGAAACTGCTACGCCGTGAGCCCTAGCATTATGATCCGACGGTTCCCAGAAGTCAGATCTGTAGAGTTTAAAGGAAAGCCTCATTTTGCTGACTTCAATCTGGTCCCTGAAGGTTGGGGTGCTTATGTGCACCCTTGGATTGTGGCTATGTCTAGGTCTTACCCTTGGCTCGAGGAAATTAGGCTTAAGCGTATGGTAATTACGGATGAGTCCTTGGAGTTGATTTCTAAATCGTTTAAGAACTTCAAGGTGCTGGTTTTGTCTTCTTGTGATGGTTTTACTACTGATGGTCTTGCTTCTATTGCCGCTAATTGCAGGTGAAGCCATTTTCTCTCACTAGCCATTTATCTCTCTAGTTAATACATTTCCTCTTTTTTTTTTGTTTTGCTAGTTGTAGTGTGTTTAGTTGTGGTTAGAGTTTTAATCTTTGGGTCTTTGTTTAGCTCTACTTGTGTATTTAGATCTAATTTTGAGTATTAATGATTCCTTAAGCTTTTCGCAATAGAAGTTTTACATTTTTAGGAACTACATTAAAAGTATTAATGTATGTATTGGTACAATTTTGTGTAGTTAAGGTAATTTTTTCTCTCACTACCCATTTTCTTCTCTCTATTTTACACCTCCTATTTATGTACTGCTTACTGTAGTGTATTTAGTGGTGATTAAAGTTTTAATCTTTGGTAATTAGATCTATTTTTTGGGTATTATTTGGTCAATGATTCCTTAAGTTTTTTGAATGAAGTTGACATTTTAAGAAACTATATAGAAAGTGTCACTGTATATGTTAGTACACTTTTTTATAGTTAAAAGTAATTAGAAGATATTTTGAAAAAATCTTAGTCAAAGAATGTAATGATTCATGTTTCAAATGGTAACAGTGCTTTAGAAATTGGATCCGAGAGAGTAAGTATAATTTGGTGTATTGCAGTTAAATCTTAACCTTTTTGGAGAATGCAGTAAGCACTTTGGTTTTAGACGTCGGGTTTTGGTAGTATTTGTTACTTGTATGGTTTATGTTCCAATTTGGGGATTTATTTACCTTACCAAACAAGAAATTACTTGTTATTGTTTAATCTATATTGTAGGAAATATAAATTATTGTCTTGGGTAGCTAGTGGAAATGAAGTAATAACTGGTTTTATTCAGTTGAAGAACTGGCTTTTCTTGTTTCACACTGTTCCCAATTTACTCTTTTGTTAGAAAACATGTTAATAGTGTTACTGATGCTGTCTTGCTGCTATATTGCATCTGGCTTTTGATTTCTGAAATTTTAATTTTTTTCGGTTCGACTTCTTTCGGGTATACTTCTGGTCATTAATTGCCAGGTTTTAATTGAATGAGCAGACGTCAATAGTTTCATATACTTCCTTTACTAAATAGTGAACTTATTGGTTTTCTTATAGGACTTAACAGTTGGGCTTTCTTTTACGGTTAAATTCTTGTGGCAGAATCCGGATAATTTGCAAGTAATTTGATTCTGTTGTTAAGTATATTTTGCTTTCCCTCTCATTATGTAACTGCATTTTGAATTGTAAGAAACATTTCTCTTTAATGCTTCTTCGTTTTAAAGTTTTGGAGATTTGGATGTTATCTGAATTCTCTGGAGAATTCCACATGTTTGTTTCTTGGTCCTTTCGTGAGAGGCTTTTGAAAATCAGGGTGGAGTTTTGTAATGGAGTATATCTGTGGTTCAATGTTTAAATGGTTAATTGTATTAGGATAGGAAATGGGGATTTGTTAAATCCCACTTTTAAAAATGTGTCAGTTTGAGGCAAACATGATTCTGATTCCTTCTTATTGATCTTGCTCATATCAACTGAGCGATTTTATCATTCATTGTTGCCTGCTGAGTCCAGCTATGTGCTTCAATTTATCGCAGAATGATTATGTAGATTGGCATTCTCATGTAACTCCTGTTTTATTGCAGGAATATTAGAGAACTGGACTTGGGAGAGAGTGAAGTGGAGGACCTTAGCGGACATTGGCTTAGCCATTTTCCTGATAGCTGCACGTCACTTGTTTCACTTAACATTGCCTGTTTGGCTTCTGAGATCAGTTTCTTAGCTTTGGAGCGTCTGGTTTCCCGCTCTCCTAATTTGAGGACTCTTCGGATAAATCGTGCTTTGCCCCTTGAGAAGCTTCCGAACCTGCTTCGTCGGGCTTCCCAGTTGTTCGAATTTGGTACAGGTGCCTACTCTGCTGAAGTACGGTCTGATGTCTTCTCAAACCTGACTGAAGCTTTTTCATGCTGCAAGCAACTTAAAGGCTTGTCTGGGTTTTGGGACATTGTTCCGGCTTACCTTCCAGCTATATATCCAGTTTGCTCCAGACTCACCTCTTTGAATTTGAGCTATGCTACCTGTCAAAACCCCGACCTTGGCAAGCTCATAAGTCAGTGTCACAATTTGCAGCGGTTGTGGGTATGTTCTAGCTTGTGTTCTAAATTTTTTGAAGAGTTAATTGATTTTCTTGATACAACAACTGCGAACATGTTTTTTTTATCTCCTAAGAATATCATCATACTTGCTGTGATTATATTTAGCAAAATTTCTATGAGAAGAATAAAAAAACAGTTTGTTCGTACTTGTGCCAATTCCTAACGGCCACAGATCAACCAATCAACTACGACTTAATCCCAGTTTAGTTGGTGTCAGCTTTATGGATCCTCTTAAACTATTTGGCTATATTCAGGTCCATTTCATTCCAATACTAGATAGGCAAAAAGTAATTCATTCTGTAGATTAACTTCACCTATGCTGGTTAGGAAGATTCCAGGTGACAATATTTGATACCGTATTTCTAAGTAACTCACCTTCCATGAAAGTTAAAGCTAAATTTTACATGCTTGATTGTGATCTGGATGAAAGGGTTTCAGTTGTTCAAACTTGTGCCCACCCGATGCACATATTAATCCATCTAAATGAGATTTTTTATGCTAAAAAAATTGCATGTATACTTAGTAATTTTTCCAAACTTGTTCTATAATTTTTCTTGCCATTATAAACTCCAGTGCCAAGTTTAAGTGTTGATTTACTTGACTTGCAATGAGTATGACTGCAGGTCCTAGACTACATTGAAGATACTGGTCTTGAGGAACTTGCTGCCAATTGTAAGGACCTTCAAGAGCTGAGGGTGTTTCCTTCTGATCCTTTTGCCCCTGAACCAAATGCAACCTTGACAGAGCAAGGCCTTGTAGCTGTCTCAGATGGCTGCCCAAAGCTCCAGTCTGTTTTATACTTCTGCCGCCAAATGACAAATGCAGCATTAGTTACTATTGCTAGGAATCGTCCTAACATGATTCGTTTTCGCTTGTGTATTATTGAGCCTCGATGTCCAGATTACTTAACTCTTGGGCCGCTTGATGCTGGTTTTGGGGCCATTGTGGAGAACTGTAAAGAATTGCGGCGACTCTCACTTTCTGGCCTCCTTACTGATCGTGTCTTTGAGTACATAGGGACCCATGCTAAAAAGTTAGAGATGCTTTCCATAGCTTTTGCTGGGGACAGCGATTTGGGACTCCACCATGTGCTCTCTGGCTGTGAAAGCCTCCGGAAGCTGGAGATCAGAGATTGTCCCTTTGGAGACAAGGCTCTCTTGGCCAATGCTGCAAAGCTTGAGACAATGCGATCCCTTTGGATGTCTTCTTGTTCAGTAAGTTTTGGAGCATGTAAGCTGCTAGCTCAGAAGATTCCTAGGCTTAATGTTGAAGTCATAGATGAGAGGGGTCCTCCAGATACAAGGCCAGAAAGCTGCCCTGTAGAAAAACTTTATATATATCGATCAGTGGCTGGACCGAGGTTTGACAAGCCTGGTTTTGTTTGGACAATGGATGAAGAAGCAGCAGTGAGGTTGTCTTGAGCCATATAGCAATTGGGAGTTCTTCACAAGGAATGACGGCAGGTATTAGTGCTATGTTAGCCTCGTGCATTTGTTATATAACGCCTTATGTAGTTGCAGTGCCAGTTGAGGTGGGAACATTACAGCTAAAAAGTATAGAGAGGCTCGAGGGCTCGTATGCCATCAATTTTACTCTTGGCTGAGCTACCTTACAGCAGCTAGCTATTAATAAAGAGTTTGAACTCTGAGTTGCTGTGTATCATCTAGTGTAACAATTATTATTCCTTTTTCTTTGGGTGGGTTTGGGGAGGTGGAGGGCAAATTTTTGCCGTTGCATGTGTTGTTTCCAGACTTTGTTTCATTATGTATTTGTTTCTTTCTTTCTTCTAGTGACTTATTCTCTAATGACAGATTGCCATCTTGAACTTGGATAATAAGTTACTTAGGATAATGTACGACAAAATGTTAGTTGTCTTTTTTTTTTTTTCCTCCCGAGTTGTTAATTGTAGCTCTTCTGGTAAATTAATTGTACCATGCTGAAGGGGAGCCTTGGTGCAACAATAAGAGATCAAGGGTTCTAGTGGTGAAAACAATCTCTTGCATATAAGCAAGGGAGAAGTTCTCCTACACATATAGTTGGGAGATTAGTGCACTGGGCTGTCCGAGGTGCTGTTTGAAATATACAATCCATTAACTTCGACAGACTCTAAATTGGCTTGCCATGTCCTTGGAACACGATGCAAATGGAAATTTGTTATGTACTAGTTGTAGGCTTCGCATTTACGCAGGTTCATTGTATGTTTTCTGGTTGGTAGACTTGCCGGCCCTGCGATGTGCATACTATTACATCTCTCTTTTTGTCTTTGAGGAGTAGTTCACTGTTGGATCTAGCCAATACAACATCCTATTGTTTTTAGGCAAGAAAGCAATTATGCTAGTTTATACGGGCCATGGCGTATGGTTATGGAAGAAACGTGGTAACTTTTGTTATTGGTTATATATTTTTGAGTCATATAAAGAGGGTTTTTCTCAAAAAGTGGAGCATGTGAAAGATTCCAACTCGGTAGATTGACATTGCTTTGTATTCACAACTTTTTCAGCGTTACTCTCGCCTTTCCACTATCACTTGATGTCATAGTGGAAACAAGCCGAAGAGAAAAACGAAAAACAATGCAAAAGGAGGAGCCAAAAAATGCCCAAGTCTCCTTAGGATAATCATACAACTGAAGAGGCCTAAACCACAAATTTGAAGAGACGAGAAAGGAAGAAAAGAGAATTATAAGTGGTGTGAATTAAAGACAGAAGCACAGCTAGACGGACAATAATGTAACAGACACAGCACCTGGCAGAGGCAGAAAAGGCTGAATCCATCACCCTCCCATAGGAAAAAGGAGTACGTATAGTTGTGGAAAGTAGTAATACACTACAGATATTCCAGGGTAAGAAAGCAAAAGCTGGAATCAGTGTCTCTGCTATCTCTCTCTTTTTCTTTTTAGGTACATCTCTAAAAATCTGGTGGAGCTTCTTTATATTGCTGTTCTAAACACGAATTAAGAGCCAGAAAATCAAACAATGCCTGAAAAATTATTTTTCGTATGTTATTTTAAAAAATAAATTCTATTTACGCAACATAACTTGAATTCTCTTCACTGCATGTGGCTTGGCCATTGGTTGATAGTGAGTAAAAAACTACACTATAACCAACTTATTTTGTGGCACATAAGCCATATCTTAAGAATTTCATCAGCTAACTAGTTTGAAAAGTTTGTTAAATTATGCAACTGTTGTTTCATTTTATACGACATTCTCTCATTCTTACATTGTTCAGATTTTTTTTTTTTAATTTAGAAACTTGTTAATTTTAAAATTTTCTTTCCCTTAATAATCTTATAACCACAAAAAAATCATGGCATATTTAAGTCTACGACTCTTAGACAAGAAACAGTATTTTTTTTGTCTGCCAAAAAGCAAAAACCCAGAAAATGGAAAAAAGGAAAAAGTGATATGAATAGAATCCACTGTAGAAGATTAATGATCAATTGCGGACGAACTTTTAATTGACTTATGACACCTCTGCATGTTTCCTTTGGTCTATCTATTATGATTATCATCACCTTCATAATTGCTTACCAATTTGATCATTTTCTCCTCATATTATTATCACATATTATTCTCCAACCCCCTCTCCTGCCCTTGGCTTTGGATTCTCTTTAATCTTTTTCTATCATTCTGTAGAATAATGACTATGATTGAATCTTGCTACTAGTTTCATATTTAGTGGCTTAGAATCACTTCTCATTTTAATTTCTATTTCTTATAACATCAATAAGTATTTTTTTTTCTTCATAATTCTATTTGGGAGGAGTTGGCCTTGTAAAATCCAACCAAACCCCCTTTACCGAAAATATATATATTAGATCTTGAATTCTCTTAGCTTCTCTTATAACCATTAGACTGCACTTCCAAATTTCTCGGTTAAAAAAATTATTTTGTTTTCTTAATTAGAATTTTCAATTTCAGATATACTCACAAGTCATCATATCCAATTATCGTCCGTCCACTTCTTTCACATACCTTTTCCCAATTAAGATTTTTCAATCACTTAAAAAACAATCTTTCTTCATGACTATCTAGTCAAAATTTGTTATAAATATTTGTTGACTGTTGCAGTATCTATTCCTAGTGGATTCTTATGTGGCTGGCTACTTACAATATCAACTCGAAAATTATGTGTGGGTTTGGACTCCTTTTGGCTCTTCTTGTGAAGCATCATCTCAAAGGAAGTTTAATATTTACCATTTTCAATTGGGAGGCCAGTTGGAAGATCAGAATTCAGAGGTATGATGAGTAAGCAAGAGGCAGTGGATTGTAGTGTGTGAAGCCAATAAGTGATGGGAATGATAAATTAGTTTAATCTAATATTATTACTTAACTGTTATTGTTTTTATGGGACAACAATAGTCAAGAAATCACAATTTAAATTACAATATCATATAATAAGGGGATTCAAAAACATTATACTAAAAACTCTTAATATTTCCCGTGGTCAGCTGGCTATTTCTGCCAGTTAGGGGTGGCATGTGGGCCGGGCCCGGTCCTAAGTGGGCTTCGCGGGCCTGGTCCTAAGTGAACCGGTCGTAGGCGGGCTGGTCCTAAGCGGTCCCGGACTTCGCGGGCTTCTTGTTGGAACCGATCCGGGACTACGAACTAACGGTCCCGGACCCTAACATGCCCAAACGGTCCTAAGCGGACCCAAGTGCGCCCAACGGATATTTTCTATTTTTTAAAGTATTTTTATACAAGTTAGAAAAAAAAATGGTAATAAAAATATCTAAGGCAATTCCTAGTAAATTATATTATAAAATTGTCATCTAAATTTTTTAATTCAAATTTAAAGACAAAAATATTGTAAAGAGATATTCAAAGCAATGCGTTATAATATATATATATACCATACTATACTATATATACATCTTAAGATATATAAGCTATATTCGATTTACTATATATACATCT